TATATATATATATATATAAAAAAGCTTGATTATTTTTTAAATAGTAACTATTTCCCTTCAAAAAAAATCTATTTACTATTTTTGGAAATTAATTTAACAATTTATGGTATATATTAAATGATTACTTATGGAAATTACGGCTCATTATTTAAGAAAGTAACTAATCCATCTTTTAAGATACCTTAATTATTCAAATCATATGATCTAATTAACATATGGTATAAAGTGGACCGATTTATTTTTTGTATTGATGGTTGTTTCAATGAGAAATAAATTTATCAATATACGGCATAAAGTAAACAGATTTATTTAGGTTATTTGATGACTGTTTTTTAGTAGGAAATTTGTTGAAAAATTAATAAATTTACAGTGAACTTTTATTATAGGCTAATATATTAATTTATAGGCGTGTATTTCAATTTTTCGTATGAAATTAACATAATAAAATTATCGTAACTCCATGAACGGTGGTAACGCAAATCACTCCGACCGGCTTGAAATCGGCTCGTCTTCCTCCTCTTCATCGGTAGAACGCCGTGTACCTGTAAAGAACTCTCACACTGGGGGGTTTCCGGTGAAGAGCCTCCGATGCTTAAGTCAGTGTATGTTTTTCTCAATTCTCCAAAGTATGTAATGGATAAATCGTAAGTAACAAGAAAAGGCTAACTCATATATATATATATATATATATAGGAGTGAGATACCTGCCCTAGGAGCTGCCCGGATTTGGTGAGCTGTCCTACCCGCGCTGCCCGTTCGTACACACACAGTGTGCGTGTGTCAGAGGTGGTTATCGCCAATATTACTCTGCACCAATGTACTCTCACCACGTGTCCCTCTGAGCCGAGGGAGATTATTCTCTGCACATTCCGTTAGGATCTTCTGACGAAGTCCACGCGCTTTCTCGCGTCCAGGCCACGCCCTCGATTGCTCTTCACTTGTCGGGTGCTCGATCTGACCGAGTCCCCCTTTGCCAGGTCGATCATCGACCAAATCTGCTATCCTGCTCGACCAATATAGCTTTCTCGACATCGAGCTCGCCCGACCCACGTGGTAAACTGGTCTATTCTTTAGGCATATAATATCCCATATCATCTAGTCCCCCCCCCCCCCCCCCGTCTCCCCCACTCTGGTCGAGTCTGGATGACTCGATCCAAGAGTGAACTGGTGTCTGCCTCTTCGATCTGTTGACTCTTCGACCTTCTGTTTAGGTTTTGTCTCCTCCTTCGATCATTTGACCAACGTTGCTCCCACTTCTCGACCATTTGACCGATTTTATGATGCATTTTATCCACCCTTTATTTCCCTTTATTGTTGGCGCGATTTCCGCCTGCCACGCATTCTTTCAATCCAGTACCTTTAATCATCACGTCTCCTCGCGATCTGCGCCGCTTGCTATCTCTGCCCCTTTGATTCTCCCAACCGTTAGATCTCGCTTTCATCTAATGGCTATTTCCACCAACTCTTCACCTTATGCCTCTGTATAAATACCGTACTTAGCCAATTTTTCGGCTTTTCTCACTTTTACAAATCTCGAATTCCCTTGCGTCCTAACTTCTTCCTCTGCAAATCGTGTTTTCTCGCTCTCGGCGCCTTCATCAAACATTTTTCGGCAACCGTCTTCTACTGCGACCATAAGTAAGTTCTCTGTGCTCTAATTTTGTGTTCTTGTTTGTTTATTTTGTCAATTTCCGGCCTTCTATGTTGGTTCTCCTCTTTCAAAATCTCCCCCTTTCATCTGTGAAGAAAAACCCCTTTTTTCATCTTCCGAAACCCTAATCTTTTTCCTTCTTCTCTTGCTTCTCCTTTCTTTTGTTTTTCAGATTCCGCTGCTTCTAATGCGCAAAGTCATCATTCTGGCGAAGATGCGACTGCTACGTCGCCATCTCCAACTCGTCGGCCTGTTACTCACTCTCCTTCTCGCTCAGTGGACGAAATTTACTGTCCTATTCCCCTCAACACTTTTCGTCCTTCCGATCACACCACCTCTTCTCTTCCGCCTCAACCTCGTCGTCTGATCGATGAATCAGATGATGATGCTCTTGACCATGTTCCCCTCACTCGTCGCCGACGGCTAGCCTTCGGAGCTTCTGACGCAATTGAGGAGGCTCTCGATGCGGCTGAAGCGTCTCATGATCAGAACGAGGACCATGTCCCTCTTTCTCAGTGCGTTATCTCTTCCTCTTCTAAGTCTACCAAGAAGAAGGGCAAATTGACCAAAATCTTCTCCTCTGCAAAGGCTTCTTCCCGTGCTCTTATAGCCGGCTGGTTGAATACCGATGAGGTCGTCCACCCAACCAAATGGGTCTTTGTATCCCCTGGCCCTAAGGACACATACGATTGTCCTCCCAAACATTGTTATACTTTTTTCGAGATCCAATTCAAACTTGGTGTTCGTTTTCCCTGTGCCAAGACTTGCTTGATCTTTGTGAGTGGTTCGACCTCCCATTGAACCACCTCCCTCCTAATGCCATCCGTTTTATAACCATTTTCATCATCCTTTGCCATATCCGTCTAGGTCGACTCGACCTAGACTTTTTCCATTACCGTTATACACCCTCGAAATCTTCTCATGGGCTTTATCTTAAGAGCAGCAATGATGTCCATTTTATTTCGGACACTCCTTCACATGTTCCCCGGTGGAAGGATAGGTTTGCTTTTGTCGAGCCTAGCCCTGCTTTTCCTTGAGCACCGACTCCATGGCTTAAGCAGCTAAAGCGTGGGCATGCGCCACCTGCTCAAAGTGCTCTGTTCGACCAACAGATTACTGTATGGAACCGAAAACCCGTTGCGTCCCTAACCCTTCTCGCAAACGAGAACCTTTTGCATTTCTGCTGTCTTCTCACCCACAAGTCCTTGTCCCCTCCTACCCAAGAAACCCTCGACCTTATCCGGGTCGAACATGACCCAGGTATTTGCTGTTAAATATTCTCGAGTATTGTTGTGTTTGTTTCACACGCGATTTACCTATTATGGCTCTAATTCGTTCATGATTTCTTGCAGAGATGTCTGCTATCTCCTTGCCCAAGAGAAAAATTCCTCTAAAGAAGAAAACGACCGAGGGATCGAGCTCGAAGGCTGCTGACTCGACTGCTTCTCGGTCCACCCGCTCGGCTTCACCGCCACTGGGGAAATGACTTCTGCCATGGAGGTTGATCCTCGTCCTCCATCCATGGCCGGGCCGGTCGTCAAGGAGCCGTCCTCGACCGACCTTCATGTTGACCGGCAACCCGAACAACCTGAACAGCTCGAACAGCCAGCCTCTCCTTAACCGGAACCATTTCCCCGCGATCCAGCCACTCCTATCATCCACATACTCGCTTCCCCTGAGGAGACTCTGCTCGAAGAGAGTCAACTCAAGCGTCCCCCTGTCGAGGGGAATGAGGGGAGCTAGCAAACGCCGTCGCCTCGAGGAGACCGCCGTCTTAATCACTTCTCTCGATGGCCCAGCAATGGCTGGCTCATGTAATCCCTTATAACTTAATGAATATATGCTTTATCTCACCTGTTTTTATTATTATTTGTGCTCTAATTCTTCCTTTTATATGTCCTTATAGGGAATGGTTGAAATCGCGCCCTTGATCGAGCAGACGCTAGCCAGCTCGAGCCGCTCCATTCCTGCAATCGAACGAGGGTCTCTCGTCCTCAGTGATCGAGTGGCTGATCTCGTTGTCAAAGGGCACGCCTTGCAGCAGAAACTAAAGGAGGCAGCTGCCCAAGCTAGGGTCCTTTCCTCTGAGAAAGAAACGCTCGAGGGGGCCCTCAAGTCTTTTGAGGAAGCGCTCCCTGCTGAGCGAGCGGAGAAAGAGACTCTCAAGGCTGCCCTAGAGACCGAGGGGGTTAAGCAGAAAACCCTCGAGGTTGCGCTCGAGGAAGAAAAGGCGGCTTGAGCGCGTGAGAACGTCGCTTTTGAGCAGAGGGCTAAGCTCCTAATGGATGAGGCTGCTCCTCCACCCGCGGCGGTGCTACTCCCTGCACCACCGCTCCTTGCAGCGGCGCCACGGCCAGATCTGGCTGCAACGGCGTCGGGATCGCCGCTCCCTGAGTCGTACGGGCCTCTTGAGCTCGGTTTGAGCCCCCGTCGGCCTTTGGTTGCACCGGCGTGACTGCTACACCTTGAGGGACAGGCATTGGAGTCACCGCGAGGAGGGTCCAGAGAATCCCAGAGGGGGGCCTT